AATATTTAATACAATTAAAACTTTTAAAGCCAAAAATATTTCTCCCCAACGGTACCAAACTTAACTTAAATTACTCAGATTGGTAATATTCCTAGCTAGCTGTCACCAAAATTTTGACAAGTATTGTACTTAGTTTGCCCTTTGGATCTTGTGTACATCTATACATTATCCTGTCAGTGGGAAAAAAACTAAAGAACAATTTAAGTTACTGCACGCATCTTGTCCTCTCACTGCAAAATTTTAATTTTGTACTACTACTTATAATATATTTTTTAATTATTAATTTATATAAACAATAAAAAAATTAATATCAATCTTAACATCAATTTTAATATATTTTAATTAATAAATAAAATTAAAATTTATTTTTATATACAATTTAATTAAAAAATAAATATTAATTATTTACTTAACTTGTGTTTAGAACACAAGTTAAAAAAATTTAATATAAAATTTAAACTTAGTATATATTACAGCACATTTCTAATTTATTGAATTCAAAAGTGTTTAATATTCTTTTTAAAAAATGAAGTTATTTTCCCCAAACAAATTGTATTAAAAATACATAAATTACTTTTTTTATTAAAAAGATAGTAAGAATTATTAAGATAATAAATTTATAATTACCTTTGACCAGTCAATTCACAGATAGTGGGGACCCACAGCGAAGCCACACCTCTCATCCAATAACAGAAGATTGGATAGTGAGGTTTCACGTATGTCCCTCATGTACGGCACCTACTTGACGTCACCATACTCTATCCTTATTGGACAGTGTATCACACGCTCTACTTACTCGCGTATGATAAAACAGTTTCCTTCTTACTACCTAAGGCCAGAACTGCTCCCGCCACGAGTCACATTCGGTCAAAACTCAGTCATTAGGAAATAGTATGAAATAAACCCCTTCATTTAATTACCCAAATAATAAAAGAAAACAGAAAAAAAATAAAAATAAAAATCTTTCATTGAATAATTCACATTTTAAGTTCGACGCAGATGCATTTTACATATAACCGAAGAACCCCATTTTCTTTCTCTCCAAAATGATGGATTTTGCTGTTATTATCATCATCAAATCTTGCAGTTTCCTCTAGATTTTCCGATTAAAAGGAGAAGAGGAAGAAGATGGAAGATGGTGCTCCTAGTTCCGATCTTCTTTGTCCGGAAAAAGAAGTCTTTTTAGGGGAAGTTGAAAACATTACTTTTCTTAACTTGAATTGTATGGATGATGAGTATGTGCAGGGGTTGGTTCAAAAAGAAATCAATTTTGGGTTCAAAAAGGAAGAGTCTTTGGTTCTTAGTAACGGATTTAGATGTGCTCGTTTGGAAGCTATTACTTGGATTCTCAGAGTTAGTTTTTCACACCAAATCTCTTTCAATTCATCAATACTATATTTATCAATCTTTAGTGATGCCATTATATTAATATGCTCTGTTTTTTTTTTTTTTTTTCATGAAATCAGAACAGAGAAATCTTCGGATTTCAATTCCAAACAGTTTATCTATCAATCACTTATTTTGATCGGTTTCTTGCCAAGAGGTCCATTGATGTAAGTTAAGAATCTTTGTGTTTTTCTTCTTTTTTTTTCTCTTTTTTTTTGCTTCGAACCAAAATCTCTGTTAAAATATGTGATTTTCTGTTTTGTTTTCAGAGAGAGAAAACATGGGCAATTCATTTACTTTCAGTGGCTTGTCTTTCTCTGGCGGCGAAGATGGAGGAGCTAAAAGTTCCAGCGCTGCCGGAGTTCCATTTTCAAGATTACAGCTTTGACAGTAGAATGATTCAAAGAATGGAGCTTTTGGTATTGAACACATTGGAATGGAGGATGAGTTCGATCACTCCCTTCGTTTTCCTTCATTATTTCATTGGAAAAATGTTGCCGGAGTCTCTGCCGGATCATATTCTGCCAAGAATCGTTCATTTCATATTGGCTGTAATGAAAGGTAGATGGGATAATCAAAATATCAAATCCACCATCCTTTTTTATTAAAATGGCAAATTTCTTAAATTGATTTTTGTTCTTCTCATTCCCTAGAGACCAACCTAACAGAACACCGGCCATCTGCTATAGCAGCTGCCGCCACATTGGCAGCATTGGATCATAGATTAACAAGAAAAACATTGGAGTACAAAATAAACTCTGTTCCTTCTTGTGGATTTCTTGAAATCGTAAGTCCAAATTTCTTTTCCCTGGTTTTACAATTGTGTACATTTGGTACTTATATGATTCAAATTACATTTTGGTGTAACAGGAAGATGTTTCTACATGCTATAATCTAATGCAGAAACTAGAGATGAAGAAACTTGATTCGTCAAAGCTTATAAATTCACCGGATCAATCGTCGTCTAAATTAAGGCCAATCAATGTTTTAGAGAATTCTTCAAGTTCTGCCGGTACCAAGAGAAAAAGGCTTGATTTCAATAATACTGATAATGAGTAAAGGCTCTGCTGAGATTATTTTCCCTTAGAATATATCAGCATGATTTGGAGTTGATTGAAAACGGAGAGAAAAGGAAAAAAGAAGCAAATCTGGGGGCTACATTTTAGAAAGCTGAGTTTTTTTACACCAGCAATGTCATGGATGTCTTGAAGGCTGCTGAAAAACAGTCAGTTCAAGCTCAACTTTATTTTTTTTTTTTCTTTTTTCATTCTTTATATCTTTATTTCTTTTGTGGGTTTATAATGTCTCATGTAACCCTACATTTTGATGGGATGCTTGAGACACTTTCCTTCTTTTTCATGTGTTATCTTGAGGGGGGAGGGTTTGAAGCTCTCTGCCAATTTGATTTGATGCATATCTTTGTTGGATGTTGGCCTTCAAAAATGAAAATTGTAAAGGATTTTTTTATTAGATTTGATTGAATGTTTGGTGATGGCTTCCCAAGAAGGGCCCTGCTCATTTTTTTCACCATGTTTGTGAGGGTGTTGGCTTATAAAACCCTGGACATTGTATCTGAAATCAAAGGGGATTTCTATATTGGATATGATTTTCTCTTATTTTTTTCTCTCTTTTATGTACTGTCTACAATCAGATGCTACTCATTTTTCCGGAAAAAAATAAGGGACAGAAGGAAAACAAAAAGTAGTCCTTTTCCCTGTAATGATCTTTTGGCTTAAACCCTTTACCCTTGATTCATCAAATTTTGCATACCTGGACTGGAACTATTGTAGAAGTAATGTTTGAGTAGTATAGTCTTGAGTAATTCAGGAAGTTAATAAATTTCTTTAAAATAAACATGTCTAGTTAGCAGAAACATTATTTTATAGCAGTAAAATGGTATCATGAGTTAGTTTTCATGTACCATACTAGCTAAGTCCACCGTTAGGTAGATAGTTTAATTACTAGCCTTCTGTAGAAAATGGTTGACCAATCTTGTCCTTCCCCTACTGGTTTGTAAGGGGCAAGAATCACTTGGCTTTACATATTTTCTTATCAAATCCGAAAGAGCTTAACATGAGCAAATTAGGCTTTTATAGAAAGTTGCTTGTTTGCTTGGATGATCCCCAGTCTCTGATCTTTTTCATGGATATATGATGATGGAGGCCAAGTCAAATTGCAGGCTCTGGTATATTTTGCAATGCCATTAATGTATCAAATGAAGCATGTGATTCAGTACAAGGTACATGCCAGAGCTCGGAGGCCTGGAGGGAAAGTTCTGCAATGCATGCTAACACAAAGTACACAGGAATCAAGCAATTTTTTGTTTATAAATCACCAAGATGGATTCTTCTGGGGGTCAAATAAATTAATAAATTGTTGTAAAATTCATGCATCAATGATTGAAGTTGCAAAGCCGACAGCAGAGTTGTTGTTTGATGAATTTCTGTATGATAAGGGGCCTCCATGTATTAATGAATAATTACTGAGTTTATTGAACACTAGGCTCAGTTTCTGCCGTGTAGATGTATAGCCTTGCCCAAATTTAAGTGTCTGAAAGGTCTTTGAATGCAAGATATATATTTATAATACTAAGTCAGAAACAAGTGTATACCATATGGAGATTCAATCATTTAAGAGTCACACCTAAACTTAGAAAAATATGATAAAAAAAAAAAAAAAAAAAACTCAGTGCCAAAGTCAAACCCACAACCTCAAAATTGTAAGGTTGGGGGCGGGTGGGGTCTCAAACACTAAATTCATAACCAATTCACCTTAAGTAGGTTTCTTGCTGATTTCATTTTCAGTTCATGAAATTACATCTATTACATATTGACATGTACCTGATCAGATAAACATGGAATAAATGCCTTGGAGAAGTTGCCCGCAGTCTAAATTAGGGTGGACATGGATCAAGCCCCCATTTGGGTGGCTTGAGCCCTTTTCAAGATCTTAGCTGGTTTCTCACTCAACAACTGTTGGACTGTGAACAAGACGAGCCTTGAATCTAAGGCCCATATATATGAAATCTATGCCATCAGCATTTTTAGTGATTGCAAAGAATGTTTTTGTTATTTTGATGTCATTTGATGACTACTGAGATTGGAGTGTAAAAATCATATATGTAGCAATTTCAATTCATCAATCATGTAGACAAATAGCATCATGCAGTGGATAAAACAGTAAGGAAATAGGAAGCAGATGACATGCAATAATGAAAAATCCCACTGAGTCTCGCCAACATTTGGATTGTGAGTGTGTGTAGATCTATTAACGCACAATTGCAACTGCAATCTAATCACACCTTTCCCATCCTTAAATTCACTAGTTTGAAACATAAAACAGTTTTCTCCATTCTAACAGCTGAGCTAAGCTTGAATTCGAGCAACAATATTTGGAGGGGGTGAAACCCTCTACTTGTGACAACAACCTAATCACACCATTCCCATCCTTGAATTATAAACTTCAAAACAAAAAACACTCGTCTTCATTTAACAGTCGAGCTCAAGCTTGAATTCGAATTAATTAAACTTCATTTACACAAACAATCCGCTATAATTGACTTTTTGTTCCCAATATATCAATGTTGAGTTGGTTTATTTAAAAAATATTTTTCAAGAACTGGGAAAGTTCTAGGAAGGAAACTCCAGATCGATTTATGGCAAGAATCGAAATGAATAAAGTGATAAATTATTATAGCAAACCGTTGCACTGATTTTTTTTTACGAAGTTGGAATCGTCTCAAACCCTTAAGAAACTGAGGTTTAGATTAAAAATTTTAGATTAAAACATTAAAATAAATAATAATAATGTATTTATTATTGTATAATCTATATTATAATGTATAAAAAATAAAAATAAGATTTTGATTGGACCAAAGGGAAGTCATAGTGGGGAGTGCACCAAGACTTCCAAAGAAGTCGGCCACAAGTCAGGAATCCACCTTATCCAAACAAAGTACATATGGATCAAATCAGACAAGATCCTCTTAAGTAAAAATAAGTCCAGAGACATATCATACCATAATGGGAGCCACCATGATATCCACGCGTGCCTTAAAAAGTTGAACTTAATCTCCACCTTAATTTACTAATTAACTTATCTTTTTCCTGTGGCGATATCTTAATAAGAATTTGAAACTTCAGATATAATTACATCAAAATTTGCTCTTGTTAATCTACTCAGCAATGAATATGTAAGAAAATGACATCCAACTCTTTTCTAAGTGTTCTTTTCTTCTTAGTAGTAGTAAATGGAATCCAATAAGAAAAAATGGCCCTCTCTGTTTTACTTTATCTAAAGAACATTTTGTATTTTTTTTAAATTTTGTGGGTTCTCAATTTAAAATTATTCTCTTTATCCATTTCATTTCTCATCTCATAAAAATATATTATTATAACTCAAATTAAAAATTTTTAATTTGAAGTAATAGAGATTCTCACAAGACTATTACAATTGACTGCATGAACAACTACCGGGGCCAAATGACAAATTAGCTAGCAAGTCATAAATGAGGTTTGATTATCAATTAAGCTCACTTATTTATAAGGTTACAGAAAACCCCATTTCATCAAGGTAGATTTTTCGCACTTCTAACTTTGATAATATTGTTACGGAAAAGAAAGTAATAGTTAGTTAATTGTCTCTCTCTCTATCTCTATCTCAGCAATCCTATTCATACCCAGACAACGTCGAATATGAGTAGATGCTAGACAAAAAAGCAAGGAGAAAAAAAAGGAAAGGAGGGAATAAAAAAATGGAGTAGATAAGATAAGCCTGCGTGACCCAGTACCAAACCAATAAGAACTCCATGGAAATTTTTGCTTCCACATTCCACAAGGTTGTACGAGCCACAAACAACCAATATGTACATCTCTTTCTCTCAGTGTCATTGTTCCAAATTATGCCAGTTTTGGGGGCACGGGGGCCCGAACCTCATAACCTATATGCAAACTTTCTTATCCATGTCCTCACATGCATGTCCCTTATCTCTCACTGATGGAACTCTCCTAGATGGTACCTAGCTTAATTAGTCTCCACCAAAAAATATGTACAATCTCATGAGCTTGTAATTGCTACCTGGCAGGTCTCTATCGATCCTAATTAAGGTTCTCCTACATTCATTAAATTTCCACCAAACCAAAGGCAAATTGAAGTGAAACAAGTAATGATAAATGACTAATTAATATCAACCACACCCTATTTCATCGCGAAATATGGGACAATATCCATCGGCTTAAACATGATTAATGAAAGGTTTATACATACATACATACATATAATATATATATATATATATGTATATATATAATATATTAGTATAGTTCCATGACGTTCTCCCAAAATTTCAAAATTTTTTAAACAATTTGTTTAAAAACTTATTTTGTAATTAATTTTTTTAAAAA